GGGCTTGAGGGCACAAATCTCTTCTGACCTGTGCACAGGCCAAGGATGATCTCACCGGCGCCTCCATCTGCAGGAAATGCATTGCCCCCAAGCCGGCTCGCACCCACCACTGCAGCATCTGCAACAGGTAGGACTCCCTCCCTCTGCCGACCGCAGCACTCGGGGCAGCCTCCGGGACCCCTCTGCTTGCCCCCTGCCACGCTGCGAGACCAGCGCCCCTTCCCCTCTGCTCTGCCAGCTTCTTGCCTTGTCTCTCACACAGCCCACAGGGCTGGGGGGGGGCTGTGTGCCCCCTCCCAAACGTGGTGCTTGCGCTGGCACTGACACTGGCACTGCTTTCCTCCCTCCCAGGTGTGTGCTGAAGATGGACCACCACTGCCGTATCCTATCTGTCTATCTAACCCGTGGCACTCTCCCAGGGGGAGCCGGCCTTGCTTCCCCCTTCTCTCCCAGCCCTACTCCTCTCCCGAGCCCAGAAGAACCACCCTGTTCCCGGGGGTAGGTTTGAACCCGTGGTCTGTCACAGTTACATACCTTTAACCCCAGAGGCAGCCTGGCTAAACAACTGCGTGGGACACTACAACCACCGCTACTTCTTCTCCTTCTGCCTGTTCATGACCATGGGCTGCATCTACTGCAGCATCAGCGGCTGGGAGATGTTTCGGGACGCCTACGCTGCCATTGAGGTGAGCAGGCAGGCCCTGGCCCTCGCCCTGCCGTGCACAGAGGCTGCCTGGGCTCTTCCAGGCTGAGCTTGCAGAGCAAGGCCGGGCCAGGCCTGGCCTTGTAGTGACTTTGCTTCCCCTCTCCCTCCTCCTGCGAGGCCCCCCAGCTGCCCTGGTCCTGCGGGGGGGTGACAGGGGAAGGGCGCCCTCCTCTGAGACACATAACTGGTGCCCTGTTTTCCATCCCCCTAGAGAATGAAACTGCTTGAGAAGGAGAGACTGCAGGTGGCTGCCAACCAGGTGGGACATCCCTGCCCCCTGCCGCTGCTCCAGGCGGTGTGGAGCAGAGCTGCCCTGCAGGCTGGCTCCTGCTTGGGGCCCCGTTCTCGAGGAGCACCCCACAGCCAGAACTAGCCCCTGCGCTTGTCTCGTGTGTCAGAGAGCTGGGGCTGGCCGGGCAGCTCTGCTCTGGGCACTGCCCCCAGCAGCCTGCGGTCTGCTTCCCCGTGCACCCGCCTTCCAGGGGCTTTGGCTGGCGGCAGCTGCTTGGCACGTGCTGCCCGGGCCCTGCTGTCCCGGGGAAGCTGCGGCAGCGCGTGCCCACCTCGCCCTGAGCATCAGCTGCGGTGTGGTGCGCTGGCCTGACCAGTCCCACGGCTGCTCCCTGCTCCCCTACCTCCAGCCCACTGCTTCCCACCTGTGTGCCGGCTCTCGGGTGTCTGTCTGTCTTGTGGCTGTCTCAGGCTGCCTCCCCGTCACCCTGGCTGTTGTGTTGCTTCCAGCCACGCTCCTTTCTAGCTGTCTGAGCTCTGCATCAGGGAGGGGTGTGGCTGTCCCCCTGTCTGGCTTCAAGCTGTCGAGCAGTTTGGGTAATCCCCACCCCTTTTTCCGGTCCTTTTTCAGACGTACTACCAGACCCCACCGCCCACCTTCTCGTTCCGCCAGCGAGCTTTCCACAAGAGCGTGGTCTACCTCTGGGTGCTGTGCAGGTAAGGGGCCCCAGGGGCTGGGAGCGAGGGTGCTGGGGGAAACAGCGTGCAGCCCCCTGCCCCTGTGACATTGCTCACCCTCTGCCTCCCCAGGGCTGGGCTGGCTTGCTCTAGCACAGATGTCCCTGCCCTGCCAGCTCTTGGGCCACAGAGGAGATTTTGGCTTTCTGTCACGGGGCATTAGATGAGCTGACCCACAGCTGTGGGCGCAGGGAGGCAGCCTCAGGGCCCCATGGCTGTGGCACCGGGGAAGGAAGGCCCTTGTGCAACCTGCTGTCCCTTGCTGTCCCCAGCTCGGTTGCATTGGCCTTGGGCGCCCTCACGCTGTGGCACGCTGCCCTCATTACCCGTGGGGAGACCAGCATTGAGCGGCACATCAACAAAAAGGAGAGGCAGAGGCTGCAGAAGAAAGGCAAGGTGAGCGCACAGCCCGCAGAGTGGGAGGGCGGGCCGGGGCAGAGCCAGACGTGACCTGCGTCTCCTTGGCCTGCAGGTCTTCAGGAACCCCTACAGTTACGGCAGCTGGGATAACTGGAAGGTGTTCCTGGGCGTGGACGTGCCAAGGTAAAGCCCCAGGGAAGCCCCTGCCTGGGAAGGTGGTGGCTCAGCAGTGTGTGGGGGTGCTGGGACACCCGGGCTCTCCTTGGGCAGCTGGAGCAGAGCAGGACAGCGAGCGTTCTGTGCTGCGTACCGCTCCAGGCTTTGCAAGGCACGGAGGACCTGGGCATCAGCGGCCTTTTGGCTCCTCAGCCCTGCCCAGGGGCAAGCTCTGGCCTACTCAGCACCCTTTTGCTGGGAGTCCTGGCCGAGGAGCTTGGCCCTTGCGGCAGCTGAGGGATGTGGGCTTGCAGCCCTGGCTCGGCTCTGCAGAGCTGAGAAGCACCCCGAGACTTGCTGCAGCCTCACTCCTCTCCCCACAGGCACTGGCTCACGCGTGTCCTGCTGCCCTCTCCCCACCTGCCCCACGGGACAGGCCTGAGCTGGGACCTGCCTCCCTGTGTGACCCAGCAGCGTGCGCCGCTCCTGGCCATCTGAGGCCCCGGCTGCCGCAGACGTCTCTCCCCACAGGCGGGCGAGCGCACGGGGGACCCCCGCTCTGCCACCGTGGCTCCCTTTGGCGGAAGGCGAGTGCTGGCACGCATCGCTGACCAGAGCCACGGGAAACGGGACGGTGTCGGTGCCAGGACGCCCGCTCTCTTGGCTGCTCGGGGGCTGCGGGCAGCCCCGGGGGAAGGCGGCAGAGCTGCTCTCCCCACTCTAGCTGAAGGTGCTGCCCTCACTAGCACAGGTACAAGCCAGCACGGGGCCCAGCTCAGCTCTCCGGCAGGGCTGGGCACAGAGGATGGCACCCCTGCCCCCCCAAGCAATCCAGAGGGAGCATTTTTAAGACCATCCAATAAATATTGTTTTTTTTAAGGGAGCCTGGCTCTTTTCCCTGGCGTGTGGGGGGTGGTGCAGACTTTGGGGACAGGGGAGGGGACACCCTGATTCCCTAACATGGAAAGAGGAGTAAGGACCTGTAACTACCAGCACCTTCAGCTGCTCAACAGATGGAAGGGTACTGGACACCCAGCCTGAGCTGCATGAACAGCCCCCCACGGCATTACCAAAACAGATCTATTTATTCCTCTGGCCCGTGGGTTGCCGCACACCGTGGGCGTGCGCACAGGCCTCCCCTCCCACGTGGGGAGTCTGTCTGTCACTGTCCCTGGCTGCAGCAGAGGCTGGGCAAGCCACAGCTCCTTCGTCCTGGGGGGTGCCGGGAAGAGGGCGGGGGTGCCGGGAAGGCGCCGCAGTGAGGGGTGCTGTTTGCTGGCCCCCATGCTCCAGCCCCGGCACTCAGGGGGGTGCTGGGCTTTGAGGGTCCATGGCATCAGTCGGGTGGCTTGGCGGGGGCCCGGTCAGCTTGTTGGTCAGCCCAGGGAGGGAATGCAGGGCGATCACCTGCCCGGGCTCCCCAACAGGAACCTGCGGGGACAGAGATGGTGCCATCAGCCATATCCCCCACACGTCAGCACCCCAGCAGCTCCAGCCACACGCACTCACCATTCCCCTCGTGCTGCCACCGCCTTCCCCGCCTCTTCCCGCACCAGCCTCTTCTTGTCATCCAAAGGCTTGGCCAGGGCCCGGATAACTCGGGCCTTGTACGGGAGCAGCTGTAGGACATAAAGGGCTCTTAGCAAGAGCACCAGGTGCTGGCTGTCCCCCAGGAGGAGGTTTGGGACCCCCGTGCCCCTCCATGTGCAGGCAGCAGGCTGCTGCAGGACCACTTACCACTATTGTGGGCAGGCTAGTAAGCGCGTGGGCACAGCGCAGGGCAGCGATGCGGACAGCCTGCAACAGACAGGGGTGAGGGCAGCAGGAGGGGCAGGGGTGGAGGGGAGGGG